AAAGTGTCAGATTAATCGGATACTTTGTTGCACAGTACAGTATTATGTCTTACGGAAAATACTAGGAGATTCTTTGGAAATACTATTTTAAAATATAAAGTGAGTTAAAATATAAAGGGAATGTGATTTAATATTTCCTTCCAATATATAAGGAAAAATTTTCTCTAAGGATTGTGCATCAGTAACATTTAATCAATATTAACAAACAGAAAATACAGAGTGCACCAAGAAAATGTACACCAATTTTAAGAATGGAAAAAGCTGTATTAAATTGCAATACTGTTTTATTTTCTAAAATTTTTAATATTTATTAGGCATTCTGACTTCTGAATAGCTCTTAGGTACCCTGAATATCAAGGTTCAGTTTTCTAAGAATGATATAGATCTGGAATCTCAATAAGTTTCCATTTGGTCTGAATAAAATATTCAGAATTTGTGTGAGAAACACTGTATTTGTCAATTTTGAAGACAGAATTATGCCATGTATTCCAACGTATTAAAAGGAATAGGGGTTATCATTGGAGTACTATACTATTCTTAAAAAATCAATCCCTGCAAAATGAACATTTCTATGCCCAACCCTGAATTGTATCAATTTTTAAAGTAAAAAGCAATAATCCCGTGCCTTTGGGAGGCTGAGGTGAGTGGATTGCCTGACCCCCCGGGTTCGAGACCCGCCTGGGCAGCGAGACCTCATCTCTACAATAAATCAAAAAATCAGCCGGGCGTGGTAGCGCATGCCTGTAGTCCCAGCTACTTGGAAGGCTGAGGCGGAAGGATCACCGGAGCCCAGTAGGCGAGGCTGCGGTGGCCGGGAGCGGCCACTGCACTCCAGTCTGGGCAACAGAGTGAGACTCCAACTCAAAAAAAAAAAAAAAAAAAGTAAAAAGCAAAAGAATAGAATAAACAAATAAAGTTAGATGCATGCTTTATAGCTTTCATTTATTTATTTAGGTAATTACTTATTTTAATTTTTTAAAAATGTGAGGTACATTTCAGAGTTACATATACAAACATTGAGTATGCAGTGTCCTTGGTTGATGAGGTATGCCCCTCCCTTCCTTTTCAGTATCACTCCACTGTCAATCTCACCCCTCCCCCTTAAAGTTTTTCACTACTGCCAATCACTTTCTTACAGCAGTATAAGTGATCAAGTTCAGCTAATAAGTGAGACCATATTGAACTCTCTTCTTTGATTCTATGACAAAATCACTGAAAATGACCTAACTTATATCC